TTTATTAGCTAACCTGATAAACTGTTATCTTATTTATTAGCTAACCTGATAAACTGTTATCTTATTTATTAGCTAACCTGATAAACTGTTATCTTGTTTATTAGCTAACCTGATAAACTGTTATCTTATTTATTAGCTAACCTGATAAACTGTTATCTTGTTTATTAGCTAACCTGATAAACTGTTATCTTGTTTATTAGCTAACCTGATAAACTGTTATCTTGTTTATTAGCTAACCTGATAAACTGTTATCTTGTTTATTAGCTAACCTGATAAACTGTTATCTTGTTTATTAGCTAACCTGATAAACTTTTATCTTGTTTATTAGCTAACCTGATAAACTGTTATCTTGTTTATTAGCTAACCTGATAAACTGTTATCTTGTTTATTAGCTAACCTGATAAACTGTTATCTTGTTTATTAGCTAACCTGATAAACTGTAATCTTATTTATTAGCTAACCTGATAAACTGTAATCTTATTTATTAGCTAACCTGATAAACTGTTATCTTGTTTATTAGCTAACCTGATAAACTGTTATCTTGTTTATTAGCTAACCTGATAAACTGTTATCTTGTTTATTAGCTAACCTGATAAACTGTTATCTTATTTATTAGCTAACCTGATAAACTGTTATCTTATTTATTAGCTAACCTGATAAACTTTTATCTTATTTATTAGCTAACCTGATAAACTGTTATCTTATTTATTAGCTAACCTGATAAACTGTTATCTTATTTATTAGCTAACCTGATAAACTGTTATCTTATTTATTAGCTAACCTGATAAACTGTTATCTTGTTTATTAGCTAACCTGATAAACTGTTATCTTATTTATTAGCTAACCTGATAAACTGTTATCTTGTTTATTAGCTAACCTGATAAACTGTTATCTTGTTTATTAGCTAACCTGATAAACTGTTATCTTGTTTATTAGCTAACCTGATAAACTGTTATCTTGTTTATTAGCTAACCTGATAAACTGTTATCTTGTTTATTAGCTAACCTGATAAACTTTTATCTTGTTTATTAGCTAACCTGATAAACTGTTATCTTGTTTATTAGCTAACCTGATAAACTGTTATCTTGTTTATTAGCTAACCTGATAAACTGTTATCTTGTTTATTAGCTAACCTGATAAACTGTAATCTTATTTATTAGCTAACCTGATAAACTGTAATCTTATTTATTAGCTAACCTGATAAACTGTTATCTTGTTTATTAGCTAACCTGATAAACTGTTATCTTGTTTATTAGCTAACCTGATAAACTGTTATCTTGTTTATTAGCTAACCTGATAAACTGTTATCTTGTTTATTAGCTAACCTGATAAACTGTTATCTTATTTATTAGCTAACCTGATAAACTTTTATCTTATTTATTAGCTAACCTGATAAACTGTTATCTTATTTATTAGCTAACCTGATAAACTGTTATCTTGTTTATTAGCTAACCTGATAAACTGTTATCTTATTTATTAGCTAACCTGATAAACTGTTATCTTGATTATTAGCTAACCTGATAAACTGTTATCTTGTTTATTAGCTAACCTGATAAACTGTTATCTTGTTTATTAGCTAACCTGATAAACTGTTATCTTATTTATTAGCTAACCTGATAAACTGTTATCTTATTTATTAGCTAACCTGATAAACTGTTATCTTGTTTATTAGCTAACCTGATAAACTGTTATCTTATTTATTAGCTAACCTGATAAACTGTTATCTTGTTTATTAGCTAACCTGATAAACTGTTATCTTGTTTATTAGCTAACCTGATAAACTGTTATCTTGTTTATTAGCTAACCTGATAAACTGTTATCTTGTTTATTAGCTAACCTGATAAACTGTTATCTTGTTTATTAGCTAACCTGATAAACTTTTATCTTGTTTATTAGCTAACCTGATAAACTGTTATCTTGTTTATTAGCTAACCTGATAAACTGTTATCTTGTTTATTAGCTAACCTGATAAACTGTTATCTTGTTTATTAGCTAACCTGATAAACTGTAATCTTATTTATTAGCTAACCTGATAAACTGTAATCTTATTTATTAGCTAACCTGATAAACTGTTATCTTGTTTATTAGCTAACCTGATAAACTGTTATCTTGTTTATTAGCTAACCTGATAAACTGTTATCTTGTTTATTAGCTAACCTGATAAACTGTTATCTTGTTTATTAGCTAACCTGATAAACTGTTATCTTATTTATTAGCTAACCTGATAAACTTTTATCTTATTTATTAGCTAACCTGATAAACTGTTATCTTATTTATTAGCTAACCTGATAAACTGTTATCTTGTTTATTAGCTAACCTGATAAACTGTTATCTTGTTTATTAGCTAACCTGATAAACTGTTATCTTGTTTATTAGCTAACCTGATAAACTGTTATCTTGTTTATTAGCTAACCTGATAAATTGTTATCTTGTTTATTAGCTAACCTGATAAACTGTTATCTTGTTTATTAGCTAACCTGATAAACTGTTATCTTGTTTATTAGCTAACCTGATAAACTGTTATCTTATTTATTAGCTAACCTGATAAACTGTTATCTTGGTGGTACCCCAGCAGGACCCTGAGATAATTATTTTCAACTAATAACTGTAACCTTATAAAGTCGTTTAAAAATGTTACTGAGTAAATTAAACGGATTAAACGATTCAAAAATAAAAATACAATGGTAATGTCTGACCCAATATAAAGCGTATTTGCACCCTTATTCAAAAATGAGGTATGCAAGAAAATTAGAATAAAATTAAAAACACCATTTAATTATCAATAATGAAGAGAGATCAAATGCCTTCCAAAATATTTTGATTGAGACTCATGTTTCATATTTTATGTTGAAACTTTGAATAATGAACTTACCAATGCTAGTCACAAATAACAACAGGATCATCATGGTTACTAAAATAGTTACTAAAATGGTTACTAAAATTATAACTAAAATGGTTACTAAAATGGTTACTAAACTATATTTTGTAGATAATCACACTAATGTGCTGTTTACAAACTACAGTAAGCCCTAACGTCAGGAATACAAAATAAAGCCAAAGGGAAATTTCAAGAAAACTTATGCAGCAATGTACACTTGAGGTGTTTGCACGGAATTGGCACAGCTTTACCACGTGACAACATGTGTAAGGTAAGTGAGTGGGGAAGTTTTAATTTTAACTTTTTAATTATCCCGGGAGAGAGTGTTATAGATTGTAACATTTGCTCCGTGATCAAAAGAGGTTGCAGCGTGTGTCAATAACATTTGCTCCGTAATCAAAAGAGGTTGCAGCGTGTGTCAATAACATTTGCTCCGTGATCAAAAGAGGTTGCAGCGTGTGTCAATAACATTTGCTCCGTGATCAAAAGAGGTTGCAGCGTGTGTCAATAACATTTGCTCCGTAATCAAAAGAGGTTGCAGCGTCTGTCAATAAGATTTGCTCCGTAATCAAAAGAGGTTGCAGCGTGTGTCAATAACATTTGCTCCGTGATCAAAAGAGGTTGCAGCGTGTGTCAATAACATTTGCTCCGTGATCAAAAGAGGTTGCAGCGTGTGTCAATAACATTTGCTCCGTGATCAAAAGAGGTTGCAGCGTGTGTCAATAACATTTGTTCCGTGATCAAAAGAGGTTGCAGCGTGTGTCAATAACATTTGCTCCGTGATCAAAAGAGGTTGCAGCGTGTGTCAATAACATTTGCTCCGTGATCAAAAGAGGTTGCAGCGTGTGTCAATAACATTTGTTCCGTGATCAAAAGAGGTTGCAGCGTGTGTCAATAACATTTGCTCCGTGATCAAAAGAGGTTGCAGCGTGTGTCAATAACATTTGCTCCGTGGGGTTGTCGTAAGATAATGGGGAAGATCACAAGTGTTCTAAAAAGGATGAGATATTAATTGATTTGAGAGATCACAGCTGCAACTGCGGCACAATTTGTTAAGGGAACATGCTACCTGACTCACCTGAGGTTACACATTTGAATGTCACATTTGAAAGTATGACATTATGACAATCCAAATAATATTCTAAATTTTTTATTGAGTTTGGCTTCGCGATAACCACTATTTGAGCTTTGTAAAGTCACGATGGTACTAATAGTATCCTATGATAAGCCCCACCCATTTCTTTTATCATAATATAGATTACCAAAATATTAATAGCAATGGTTATGTTGGTGAGTATCCACTCACTGTTTCAAAACAAATTAGTTGTAGACGTTTCGGCAACATGCCTTTGTCATAGACAGGACGTTACAATACCAGCTTACAAAGCTCAATGAGAGGAGCGAGCAATAGACTAGCAAGCTAAGTAAGGTTAAGACTGGATCTGGATCGAGGAAGCTCTACAGGAAGCTCCTTTATACGTGAGAGGAGCGAGAAATAGACTAGCAAGCTAGGTAATCATGTCTCAACTTCATTCACACACTTGAAAACTTAAAAGAAACATATGACGTCATCAAACTACATTTAGACCACAAGTCAGTGTTCAACATATTTATTCTAGATTTGCAGGTAGGAAACTTTAAAATCATTAATTATTAACTATCCTACAATGCTTACAGCACAATACAATGCTGCATGTTTAGTCACCAATCATTATAGCTCAATGAAAAATATCTTTAATTTTATTTACTACTACTATATTACTATATTACTATTTTGCCTTAATTCAACGTTTTATCCGTAATTTATATTTCAATGAATATTTAACAAGTGATTGACTGAATTGATTAGTTCTTAAGTTAAAACTGTGCATGCATGATGCCCCCCGATGTGCCATTCCATTGCTCTTACTATGCAGAATTAGTCACTTCAAATGCCATGATCAACCGGAGGCGTTTAAGGTAAAAAGTTTAACTTCTTTAATCACATGAAAGGTAACCTGTCGTTTCTTGTTGTGATTTTGTTCGAATCTCCAAAATTATTTAATTGGTACGTCTTTTTCACGTAAAAAATTCTGAATGATTCTGAAAATGCGGCTCTAAATGAATTACATTTAATAGAGCGTTTCTTCGTTCTGATTTATGCTTGCTACATCTTAATATTGCTTAGTATTTCTTTTTGTTGCAGTGCAGTTGTGTGTAGCGAACGTATGTACGATGGATCTTACTACAATTAAACGGTAAACACTCTTCACCGCTCAAATTGCAGCCTTCATCTCAAATTTTATTTGGCTTTATTCTTTTACTGTTGTGCTGTTTAACTTCAAGTCAACACTTAAGCCTGTTGGTTTAATCAAGGATTCTGTTTCTTTAGGTTTACGTTTGGATTCTATTGTTGGCTTTTGTTTGCATTTTAACTTTCCTTGACGACAATATACAAAAGTTGTATATAGATCTGGATTGTAACGTGGAGATTAAGAACATATTATTAACATATTATTAGCATATTCACATCACAGTCCACACCAGTACTCAGTATCCGGATCTATTACTCACGAAATACACGACCCCTCAGTGACGAGACACATGCTGATCATCTCCGACAAGCCTATGGGTTTGATATAGAGCAGTTGCAGGAGAAGGTTATAATCTACCCGGTGGGAGTTGAGGATCTTGATTATGAAGGATGGAGTACTTTCCACCATGCAGCAGCTGCTAATGATACTGAGGTTATACTTTTATATTTTAGTTTTCGAATAGGTTTTACATCAATGTATTATGATATTACATTTACACAAGACCAAAATATCGATAATGATTTATGAAGGTTAGGGAAATATCAACACTGTCAGACAGTGAGTGGAGTGAGAAAATGTAAGTAAAATCTATTTCGGCTAAACGAAATCGTGGCGGTTAAACCATAATTTGACATAGTTATCCCTTCTAACCCAACAATATATATCATTAGATATTGGAAGACGTGATAAACCAAGATGGTTTCTGTCATCTTGAGTCCAGAACAGACATATCAGATGGCTGCAACATGACACCTCTACTTTGTGCGGTTAAAGGCAACGCTGTGGAAACCTTTAATATACTCATATCAAATGGTGCTGATATTGCAGCTAAAGATCTGAATGGTCATGGCGTAGTGGAAGTGGCGGTGTCGTTTGCTAGCATCGATGTCTTTGAGCATCTTCTTGTGCATAGGTTTTGTAAAATACTCTTATAGTGGAGTTCAACTTCAAAATACCGTTATTTTTATAAATTTTGTGCTTCACTATTTCTCACTCTGGAGAATGATATTATAACTAAGGTTTAACATATCAACCAGATACGAGCTAAAAGATCTTGATGTATGGCAGGGGCTACTCTCCATGCTCTTCACGAGGGACGGAGAAGAGACAAAAGCAAACACTGACTTCAGACACTCTGCTTTACAGATGACTGAGATCTTAATGAACCGGGAACCGCGTTATGTTGAGAGCTTTATACAAAAGGGAGGGTTGGGCTCCATTAGAGATTTGTCGGCAGCCTGTGCTGATAGAAAGAGAATGAAGTTGGATAAGGAGGCAGTCACTGAATATAGCAAGCTCAAGGTAATTAATCAATAATCAAGTATGTAATTAAGATTTCTCAGATCCGTCACTACAGTAATACGCAAATGTCATTGTCAATCAGGTCTAGCTGGTTGTTTATTTCCCAAATAAATGAAAAATAAAATAAAAAATAATAAATAAATAAGGCCTCTCTCTTTTCTCTAGCTGATAGAACAGGAGGAGCAAGAGGAAAGATTAGACCAGGTGTATTTAAGAACTTTAAAGACATTGGAAGGGATTCTGAAACAAATGACAGTGGAGCAAGGGAAGATTCTGTCTTCTCACTACAAAGAGATTATCATGTCTCTTGTAAGGATCATGAATAAAGGTTTGTACAAATTACCAAATTTGAGTTATTTGTTGAATTCCTGGTAGCACATTTTATAGTCGAATTGTTAGTGGAATTTGTTTGAGTTTTGGACGTAATGGATAGTGTGTCGTCACGTGAGGAAACTCTCATTTTAAATACCATACTATTTCAATCCACCATGTAGGAAGTACAGATGTTGAGTCCCAAGAGGAGTCCCAGTTGGCAGGGCAATGTCTGCAGCTGATAGCTGGAGCAGATGAGTGGGGTGTGGTCTGTCTTGCTAAGAGTTGTACTATTACCCAGATACTGAGGAGTATTCTGTTAGATCCGTACTCTCTCATACAGTTCCAGATCATCAAGACAGCCTATAGGTCAGTCAATGGAACGACCAGCTATTAACCGGCTAATACCCGGCTAATACCCGGCTAATACCCGGCTATTAACCGGCCAATACCCGGCTATTAACCGGCTATTAACCGGCTATTAACCGGCTATTAACCGACTATTAACCGGCTATTCACTGGCTATTAACCGGCTATTAACCGGCTATTAACCGGCTATTAACCGGCTATTAACCGGCTATTAACCGGCTATTAACCGGCTATTAGCCGGCTATTAGCCGGCTGTTACGGTAAACAATAGCGAAACGTCAGTAGCTTAGGGTATTTCTTATAGTGTTACATCATTTAATTTTCTAGAGCAAATTAGGACTCATTTTTAATGTCCCATAAACTTTTTCGATCAAACTTATCAAGGTTTTGTGAAGATTGTCAAACATTTAAATTTTTAGCGAGAATCCGACGACGTTACTGGACAACATATCGTCCTCTGAAATAGAAGTTATGCTAACCATTATGGAAACAGAAAAACGAACAGATATTAAGAAGTTTTTCATTTCTCTTCTGAAAGATTTCTTTAAAAGCGGAAAGTCAAAGCACCACTTGTACGGGGATAGTGGGATTGAAACTTTACTATCAGGTTTTTATATTGATCTATTAGTTGTAGTTCTAGCATGACATTACCAGTTATTATAGTAACATAATGACACGTCGTCGGTTTAACAATTATATTTCAATCCAGGTTTATTTGGAAACACGTTTCTTTTATAGGAACAAACGAGCCAATTGATTATCTCCTACGCGGAACCAATTCTTATTTCTATATTTAACTATTTAACGAATCCGAGCTTGTCGCGGTATTTCACCAAAAAAATGCTCAGACGAGAATTATAAAAGGATACGGCTTAAACTAAATAATCATGAATATATATCTCTGATAAATATTTCTGATTAACCATCTCCGTACTGAAAGTAACACTGTTATACTCCACAAGGACTGGATGGACCAGATACTGAAGCAACAGCTATCAGCCTGGATCTACTGTTACTGATAGCAGGTGACGAGGCAGGAGTACAGGCTATATTCAAGTCAGCCAACAGTTTTACATACTTAGTTAACAGGGTCATCCTGGAAACTGAAGACAGGTTAGTTGGTAGCTGGTAATAACAATAAAATAACAAATAAATAACAATTAAATAACAATTGAATAACAATTAAATAATAAATAACTTACTTGGGGAACTTATAAAGTTTATTGATATCAGAGATTCTGTAATTTAGATCTATATATTAGTCTCTATAATCGGGCAGTATTTGTGACACTTTCGCTGGTATATGATTTAATTTGCTGATTGCTCAAAAATAATATATCATTACCATTTTACTATCCAGAAGGATAGTAGTATTAAACGGTTACGTCTCATTTGTGACTAGAATAAAATGTTTTACAGGTTTGATAAGTGCATAAAGCTTCTGTGGAAGTTGATCCAAAGTTTCAGCAACCTCCAAGATTCAGTGAAAGTCATTGAAAACATCGGTAATATTAATTTAACTAATTAAAATAAATGTTTTTCCATTATATGACTCATTAGTTTTTTATTTTACAAAGCAATAATTCAGCCCCACATATCAAAAATGACGAAAAATTAACAGGAATGACGACAGTAACTTTACAAATTAACAGGAATGACGACAGTTATCAGGATGCTGGATAGTCACGATAGTGAGATCGTGTGTATTGCTTGTGAAGCTGTCAGAATACTGCTCAACTCTGATAAACACGACTACAGGGGTGACTTAGTGAGGAGAGGTGGGTATTCTTTATTTTTTAGATGATGTTTTTAATCATATTTTTAATTTTTTAATCATATAACAGGTAAAGTATGGACAATAAAACCTACATTTTTTTTAGATCTTAACTTTTTAGATGATAAGGTGATGGTATCTCAACTGTAACACTGAGCAGTAAACTGTAAATAAAATACCATAATATTTATTTAGCCAACTAATTAAACAGAAATTTTGAGGAAATATAAACCCCTCCGTAATATGAAGGACTTGTTTTAATTATATGTATATTGTATAATATGAATAAACTCTACTCAGAAGTGCACCTCTAAGTGCACCGTTATCCTCTCAGAAGTGCATCTCTAAGTGCACCGTTATCCTCTCAGAAGTGCACCTCTAAATGCACCTTTATCCTCTCAGAAGTGCACCTCTAAGTGCACCTTTATCCTCTCAGAAGTGCACGTCTAAGTGCACCTTTATCCTCTCAGAAGTGCACGTCTAAGTGCACCTTTATCCTCTCAGAAGTGCACCTCTAAGTGCACCTTTATCCTCTCAGAAGTGCACCTCTAAGTGCACCTTCATCCCCTCAGAAGTGCACCTCTAAGTGCACCTTTATCCTCTCAGAAGTGCACCTCTAAGTGCACCTTCATCCCCTCAGAAGTGCACCTCTAAGTGCACCTTTATCCCCTCAGAAGTGCACCTCTAAGTGCACCTTTATCCCCTCAGAAGTGCACGTTAAGCTGGTGAAGCTGCTGTCAGGGTTCTCTACAGGTCACGTGTTATACTGTGTGATGACGTCACTAGCCTCCCTTGCTATCTCCTGGTCCTCCCTGCACCCCGTACCAGCTGTTCAGGTTTTACTATTTTCTGTACTGTCAACGTAAATTGATATACCTTAATTGAATTTATTTGAACGGACATTAATTGAACAATGGAGGCCCCAGCGTTCATTTTAATGTCTTCTTAAATAAAGTCTACTATTTACTGATTGTTATCATAAATCATTATAGATACTCTCAAAATGCAATTCCCATAAAAAACATGACCTCCAGTACGAACAATCTGCTAATATTAATGCTAACAATAATGCTAACCTCTCTTTACTCCCCGCAGAATTGTGTTCTGCAGCACGACTGCCTGGGTAAGCTAGTCCAGATCGCACACACCAGCAAGCTCAACAGTTCTAACCTGCAGAGCGCTGCATTCCTCCTCATTGCTGCTACTTTACTCGGTCAGTTAGCTTAACTTTAAATATTACTCACATGTTTAATTTAGTGGGGAATGTTTTGTTTTTAAACATAGTACGTTACATAGTAAGTTAAAACGTACTATTTGATTTCTTGATTTGACTTTTTATGAGATTTTCAAACATCCTTTTTAGTGGTCTAAATATATTCTCGACCCACTTACATAACGTGGCTGTTCACATATTTTTAAACAATGTCAAGATAGTAAAATTACGTGAGTGACTAAATTTCGAAACGATGGATTTTACAGTTTTTATTTCAGGGAATCCGATAACAGAAAAACGGTTATCAGAACTAGATATTGACATAGAGGGTGAACTTTTGAAACAGAGTAAACATAACGAACAATCAAGTAAGGACTGTTAATTTCCTACTTATAGTACTCTTCGTGTAAAATTATAAACTAGCCGCTTATTTATTTGTTATTTCGTAAGACTTTGAGTTTCATTTGTTTATCCCTCAATCCTATCTGGGGTCGAGCATGTCTTGCTGTACAATTCAATAAGCGAATCATTTACTTTATCGTTCATCTAATAATCCCTTCTCCGCACTAGTGGTTACCGTAATGGGTGCCACTTGTGTAGGTCTGTAGAAGCATTAGTATCGGGCTTGTCTGCTACAGACTATCCCGAAACTAGAAGCTTGCTTTAATGATAATCCCTTCTCCGCAGTGCAGAACGCAATAAGAGCTATCAGCATGTTCAGATACCACGCCTTACTTATGGACAATGATAAGTACAGGTTCAGATGCCGGTTTGAGAATGACACTACCGTTTCTCTATTCAATGTGAGTGCTCAATACTTGATTAGGAATTAGGAAATGAAGCCACGAAGACATCGTTTTATTTTCAGTAAAGCAGTGTGGTAAATCAAATTTATCGTTCCGCTCGTTTAAATAACGTGCTGGGCATATCGACGAAGAAATGAAGGTTCTTTACCGATAGTTGAAATTCGACATCTAACGTCATCTAGCGCTAGATTGCGCTAGATTGCGCTAGATGACGCTAGATTGCGCTAGATGACGCTAGATGACGCTAGATGACGTTATATGACGCTATCTAGAGCTATTTGCATAGAATTTCTGGCCTTTTTGTGGGCGACATCTAGATGATGACATTGGAATGGTGCCATGCAATTGGCGGCATTGTGCTATAACGGGTGATGACTAAAAAATGGGACTTTTTTCAAGGGTCTTTTTAGTGTCGATAAAACTATTTTTGGTTCAAACCAATGAAACAGCGTTGTAAAACGGGCAATTTTAAACGAGTATGGTCAATGACAAGCGCCCATGAGCCCATTTTGATTGGTTCAGGAGGGCTTCTTTCATCAAGCTCAAAAATCCGTCTGTACAGTTGGGCCTAAAATCGTGTTGGCGCAGTCTCTTCTTTTGTGCCCTAAGGCCCATGTATGCTTGTAAGCCATATTCCGGGCATGTACATGTGTTGCCAGGACTCTAAAGAAGTCCTCTATGGGTTGAGATTGTCAAAATTTACTTTGGTCGATAACTTTTGGGACGAAATTGGCCCTTATGGCAAATAAAGATGTGGTTTTCCCAGAAAAATACGATCTAGCCCCATCCTAACGAACCACCTTCCACCCTTAGGGATATTTTCTTGTAGGAACAACACCTGGCAAGGCTTCAAGCACTTTGATTTTTACGTGGTACCGTTATAGACCATGCTAAAGCCGATAGTGGACCTAGCCTCGATCTTTCACACGGTAAAATTTTACCCCTCAGGTGGTTTTGAGCTCAAATATCTTCTTACTGGTTTTAGCTACGCTGATGGGTGTTGAACCCTCGTCTTAAGCATAACATTCGGCATACTCTCTGCTAAATATTTTTTGGTATGGAAGCTTTAACTACCTGTGAGGCGACTTCTGTGAACAGAGCTTTACTGTAAAGTTTTTATAGGACCCCTCCCCTAGTTCGAGACCATTATCGGGGACAAAGATCAACCAATTTTATCAAATGGGGGTGGAAACTGTTCGAGTATCGTTCAGAGTAACTGGTGGTTGTGGTAAAATATCAAAATTTTGTTCAGGTGGAATCTGAGGGCTAAAAAACATGTAGTCCCATTTTTTATTCATCACCCGTTATAGTGCTATCTAGTGCTATCTAGTGCTATTTATTGCTATTTAGTGCTATCTAGCGCTATCTAGCGCTATCTATCGCTATCTAGCGTCATCTAGCGTCATCTGACGCTAAATGACGCTAGATGTCGAATTTCAACTATCGGTAAAGATACTGCGTATCCTCAATTATTATCGGAATTTTAAAATTCATTCGTTGTCTTAATGCGGGAAACATTGATTCTTGTATCTCCAGATAATCCTGGGAAATTTATCCAGCAAAGACAAAACATCAAAGATAATGGAAATGTTAGAACACCCCGACATAGAAGCCTATATTTCCATGTAAGTACAGATCTTTACGATCGCAGAATATTCCTCCGAAAAACTAACAAACTTATAGGTTGAACCTATATTTTATTTATAATTGGGCTGGTTGTGATTCTAATTACTTTTGATCACCAGAAACATTTTTATTTTATTTAGTACAGTTTCATGTAGATGTTTCTACGTGAAGTTATTGTGATCAGATAACAGGATTAAGCACTGATTTTAGCTGGAAGATAAATGACTCCATCTGATCACATCCTGTTTCAGAGCTACACTGAGCAAGCTGAAATCGTGTGCTGATGACGTAGTGAAACACGGAATTGACTTTTTAACAAAAGCTCTATACGAAGGGAGTCTTAGAGTTCAGGAGTCAGCTGCCACTGCTATCGCATCTTTATCTTATACCAAGGTATGCACACATTATGTGTCACCAATGATATATATATATATCCACCAGCGGGCTATATTTGCGCCAGCAGGACCGTGCAGCCCGCTAGTTAGAAGACATGATATATCCCGGCCCGCTCTCACAGCCCGCTGATATAGCGGGAGCCCGCTATACCATCGGGCGATATAACATCAACACTGTTGACTGTAATCAGCTGTATTTCTTGTAGTCGGATATGAACCAGAGCAACTGGTTAATGCATCCAGCTCAAACATAACATCATATTTTATGAAAGCTAAATAGGATGAATACCTCTACAGAAGATCATCAATAACCTATTCCAACAGTCAGGAGTAAGCCAGCTACTGGTTGAGACCCACACTAATAACCTATTCCAACAGTCAGGAGTAAGCCAGCTACTGGTTGAGACTCATACTAATAACCTATTCCAACAGTCAGGAGTAAGCCAGCTACTGGTTGAGACACACACTAATAACCTATTCCAACAGTCAGGAGTAAGCCAGCTACTGGTTGAGACCCACACTAATAACCTATTCCAACAGTCAGGAGTAAGCCAGCTACTGGTTGAGACCCACACTATAATAACCTATCCCAACAGTCAGGAGTAAGCCAGCTACTGGTTGAGACCCATACTAATAACCTATTCCAACAGTCAGGAGTAAGCCAGCTACTGGTTGAGACCCACACTAATAACCTATTCCAACAGTCAGGAGTAAGCCAGCTACTGGTTGAGACCCACACTAATAACCTATTCCAACAGTCAGGAGTAAGCCAGCTACTGGTTGAGACCCACACTAATAACCTATTCCAACAGTCAGGAGTAAGCCAGCTACTGATTGAGACCCATACTAATAACCTATCCCAACAGTCAGGAGTAAGCCAGCTACTGGTTGAGACCCACACTAATAACCTATTCCAACAGTCAGGAGTAAGCCAGCTACTGGTTGAGACCCACACTAATAACCTATTCCAACAGTCAGGAGTAAGCCAGCTACTGGTTGAGACCCACACTAATAACCTATTCCAACAGTCAGGAGTAAGCCAGCTACTGGTTGAGACCCACACTAATAACCTATTCCAACAGTCAGGAGTAAGCCAGCTACTGGTTGAGACCCACACTAATAACCTATTCCAACAGTCAGGAGTAAGCCAGCTACTGGTTGAGACCCACACTAATAACCTATTCCAACAGTCAGGAGTAAGCCAGCTACTGGTTGAGACCCACACTAATAACCTATTCCAACAGTCAGGAGTAAGCCAGCTACTGGTTGAGACCCACACTAATAACCTATTCCAACAGTCAGGAGTAAGCCAGCTACTGGTTGAGACCCACACTAATAACCTATTCCAACAGTCAGGAGTAAGCCAGCTACTGGTTGAGACCCACACTAATAACCTATTCCAACAGTCAGGAGTAAGCCAGCTACTGGTTGAGACCCACACTAATAACCTATTCCAACAGTCAGGAGTAAGCCAGCTACTGGTTGAGACCCACACTAATAACCTATTCCAACAGTCAGGAGTAAGCCAGCTACTGGTTGAGACCCACACTAATAACCTATTCCAACAGTCAGGAGTAAGCCAGCTACTGGTTGAGACCCACACTAATAACCTATTCCAACAGTCAGGAGTAAGCCAGCTACTGGTTGAGACCCACACTAATAACCTATTCCAACAGTCAGGAGTAAGCCAGCTACTGGTTGAGACCCACACTAATAACCTATTCCAACAGTCAGGAGTAAGCCAGCTACTGGTTGAGACCCACACTAATAACCTATTCCAACAGTCAGGAGTAAGCCAGCTACTGGTTGAGACCCACACTAATAACCTATTCCAACAGTCAGGAGTAAGCCAGCTACTGGTTGAGACCCACACTAATAACCTATTCCAACAGTCAGGAGTAAGCCAGCTACTGGTTGAGACCCACACTAATAACCTATTCCAACAGTCAGGAGTAAGCCAGCTACTGGTTGAGACCCACACTAATAACCTATTCCAACAGTCAGGAGTAAGCCAGCTACTGGTTGAGACCCACACTAATAACCTATTCCAACAGTCAGGAGTAAGCCAGCTACTGGTTGAGACCCACACTAATAACCTATTCCAACAGTCAGGAGTAAGCCAGCTACTGGTTGAGACCCACACTAATAACCTATTCCAACAGTCAGGAGTAAGCCAGCTACTGGTTGAGACCCACACTAATAACCTATTCCAACAGTCAGGAGTAAGCCAGCTACTGGTTGAGACCCACACTAATAACCTATTCCAACAGTCAGGAGTAAGCCAGCTACTGGTTGAGACCCACACTAATAACCTATTCCAACAGTCAGGAGTAAGCCAGCTACTGGTTGAGACCCACACTAATAACCTATTCCAACAGTCAGGAGTAAGCCAGCTACTGGTTGAGACCCACACTAATAACCTATTCCAACAGTCAGGAGTAAGCCAGCTACTGGTTGAGACCCACACTAATAACCTATTCCCAACAGTCAGGAGTAAGCCAGCTACTGGTTGAGACCCACACTAATAACCTATCCAACAGTCAGGAGTAAGCCAGCTACTGGTTGAGACCCACACTAATAACCTATTCCAACAGTCAGGAGTAAGCCAGCTACTGGTTGAGACCCACACTAATAACCTATCCAACAGTCAGGAGTAAGCCAGCTACTGGTTGAGACCCACACTAATAACCTATTCCAACAGTCAGGAGTAAGCCAGCTACTGGTTGAGACCCACACTAATAACCTATTCCAACAGTCAGGAGTAAGCCAGCTACTGGTTGAGACCCACACTAATAACCTATTCCAACAGTCAGGAGTAAGCCAGCTACTGGTTGAGACCCACACTAATAACCTATCCAACAGTCAGGAGTAAGCCAGCTACTGGTTGAGACCCACACTAATAACCTATTCCAACAGTCAGGAGTAAGCCAGCTACTGGTTGAGACCCACACTAATAACCTATTCCAACAGTCAGGAGTAAGCCAGCTACTGGTTGAGACCCACACTAATAACCTATTCCAACAGTCAGGAGTAAGCCAACTACTGGTTGAGATCCACACTATAATAACCTATCCAACAGTCAGGAGTAAGCCAGCTACTGGTTGAGACCCACACTATAATAACCTATCCCAACAGTCAGGAGTAAGCCAGCTACTGATTGAGACCCACACTAATAACCTATTCCAACAGTCAGGAGTAAGCCAGCTACTGGTTGAGACCCACACTAATAACCTATTCCAACAGTCAGGAGTAAGCCAGCTACTGGTTGAGACCCACACTAATACCTATTCCAACAGTCAGGAGTAAGCCAGCTACTGTTGAGACCCACACTATATAACCTATCCCAACAGTCAGGAGTAAGCCAGCTACTGGTTGAGACCACACTAATAACCTATTCCAACAGTCAGGAGTAAGCCAGCTACTGATTGAGACCCACACTAATAACCTATTCCAACAGTCAGGAGTAAGCCAGCTACTGGTTGAGACCCATACCTAATAACCTATTCCAACAGTCAGGAGTAAGCCAGCTACTGATTGAGACCCATACTAATAACCTATCCAACAGTCAGGAGTAAGCCAGCTACTGGTTGAGACCCACACTAATAACCTATTCCAACAGTCAGGAGTAAGCCAGCTACTGGTTGAGACCCACACTAATAACCTATCGCAACAGTCAGGAGTAAGCCAGCTACTGGTTGAGACCCACACTAATAACCTATTCCAACAGTCAGGAGTAAGCCAACTACTGGTTGAGATCCACACTATAATAACCTATTCCAACAGTCAGGAGTAAGCCAACTACTGGTTGAGACCCACACTATAATAACCTATCCCAACAGTCAGGAGTAAGCCAGCTACTGGTTGAGACCCACACTAATAACCTATTCCAACAGTCAGGAGTAAGCCAGCTACTGGTTGAGACCCACACTAATAACCTATTCCAACAGTCAGGAGTAAGCCAGCTACTGGTTGAGACCCACACTAATAACCTATTCCAACAGTCAGGAGTAAGCCAGCTACTGGTTGAGACCCACACTAATAACCTATTCCAACAGTCAGGAGTAAGCCAGCTACTGGTTGAGACCCACACTAATAACCTATTCCAACAGTCAGGAGTAAGCCAGCTACTGGTTGAGACCCACACTAATAACCTATTCCAACAGTCAGGAGTAAGCCAGCTACTGGTTGAGACCCACATTAATCACCTATTCCAACAGTCAGGAGTAAGCCAGCTACTGGTTGAGACCCATACTAATAACCTATCCCAACAGTCAGGAGTAAGCCAGCTACTGGTTGAGACCCACACTAATAACCTATTCCAACAGTCAGGAGTAAGCCAGCTACTGGTTGAGACCCACACTAATAACCTATTCCAACAGTCAGGAGTAAGTCAGCTACTGGTTGAGACCCACACTAATAACCTATTCCAACAGTCAGGAGTAAGCCAGCTACTGTTGAGACCCACACTAATAACCTATCCCAACAGTCAGGAGTAAGCCAGCTACTGGTTGAGACCCACACTAATAACCTATTCCAACAGTCAGGAGTAAGCCAGCTACTGGTTGAGACCCACACTAATAACCTATCGCAACAGTCAGGAGTAAGCCAGCTACTGGTTGAGACCCACACTAATAACCTATTCCAACAGTCAGGAGTAAGCCAGCTACTGTTGAGACCCACATTAATCACCTATTCCAACAGTCAGGAGTAAGCCAGCTACTGGTTGAGACCCACACTAATAACCTATTCCAACAGTCAGGAGTAAGCCAACTACTGGTGAGATCCACACTATAATAACCTATCCCAACAGTCAGGAGTAAGCCAGCTACTGGTTGAGACCCACACTAATAACCTATTCCAACAGTCAGGAGTAAGCCAGCTACTGCTTGAGACCCATACTAATAACCTATCCCAACAGTCAGGAGTAAGCCAGCTACTGGTTGAGACCCACACTAATAACCTATCCCAACAGTCAGGAGTAAGCCAGCTACTGGTTGA